TATATATATATATATATATATATATATATATATATATATATATATAATAATTCTATATATATAATATATATATAATAATAATTAAAAATAGTAAATGCCTAATTTTCTCGCTCATACTTTGTCACTAAACCAGAAAAAAACCACCTGCTTCGAACCCAAATAACGAAAACCTAAATTTAATATGATCTTACTCCTCTGTTTTTCTTCTTATTCGACCTGTACTCGGCTTTAGAAGTACTCATTGCAACCAAAATGGAGGACGATAGATTGATCGAAAGAGAAGATGACGAAGAAGAGGAAGAAGAAGCCCACGAAGAGGGAGAAGAAGGAGGGGAGTTAATTCCAGTGGAGAGAATCACACCTAGAGGTATATCATCTGAAGATGAGGATTATGAGGACGAAGAAGATTACGAAGAGGAAGAAGAAGGGGAGTTGATTCCGGTGGAGAGAATCATAGGTATATCATCTGAAGACGAGGATTATGAGGAGGAAGAATATTACGAAGACGAAGAAGCAGATGAGTTGATTCCTGCGGAGATGACTTCACCCAGTGTTTCAACTTCTATTGCCGATAGTAGAACATTTCTAGGGGAAGCGCTAATCAACGATGGCGTGTTGGACGATTCGAACGATGGAGGAAAGGAAGAGCTGATTAGAGGCGAAATTGACGGTTTATTCTGCCCTATTTGCTATGAAGCTTGGACAAACGGTGGAGATCATCGAATCTGGTATGACTGAAACTAACAACACATTGTCACGATTTCTAACATATCTCATAAATTTTGTGCTAGGGCTATTTAGTTTTTACCATTTTGTCTGCCATTTCATGACTTCAGTTGTCTTCCCTGTGGGCATATATATGGATTCTCGTGTATAAAGAAATGGCTTCAAGGACGTAGAGCTTCTGGGAGGGTTTGTCCATGTCCAAACCATAATTAAATTTTTTTTGATTATCTTATCGATTCTCTCTTACGTTTCCATTGTTTCCTATCAGTGTCCTCAGTGCAACGGTTTATGCACATTGAAGGATGTTAGAGTACTCTATACCAAACGGCTTTGTGCTGCTGATGTAGACTTACAGAAGGTTATTACTAATTAATATCTTTGAAAGTTTTACACAGAAAATCTAGTGTTACCCTTTTCCTGATTAAGAAGCAAAGTTTCTGTCTGTAGAGAGTGGGCATACTTGAAGCTAAATGTGCTTATCTTGATGAGAAGGTATGTAGTCTCATGTTGCTTGTTATTTTTCTGTTTGGTTTAACCAGTAACACATTGTACCTCAGGCTATGCATGCAGAGCATGGTGCCAAGCATACTGCATTGCTTGAAGAAATTAATGGCAAGCATACTGATATCCTTGCTAGGATTACTAGTATGCAGCAGCAACAAACAGAGATGAAGGAGCAACAAACAGAGATGCATCGTATGCTCACAGATATACACAAGTTTCACATCCAGAATCATCCACCATGTGATGGTTAGTTTGCACTTCCCTCACCATCTCAAGCATGGTTATGTATATCTCAAAAAGTAGGAAGTCATTTTGGAAGTTTTACATTTAGATTTCTTGTTTGTAATCATATTATGTTGTGGTTTGTGTTGATTATAGCCAACCATGGTTGGCTAAGTTGTTCCATGCTGACATTTGGTTGCTAATCTTATGAATTTAGTTAGATTGTAAATTGTTTGTTCATATCGTTAGAGCTTCTTAATTAACAATTGTGAAAAAAAAAACAATTTTCAAAGATTTGAAAAGCATTTGAACTTATAAAGCAACAACCTTTCTTATTTCTTCCACCTTTATGAATTAAAATGATAAATACTATCAAGCTCTAACAATCCTCCACTTAGGATTTATCAATAATCTTATTAATGTAATGACATTGATTTAACATATAACCCCCACTATGACTTTCTACTTTAATCCCTAATATTGTATCCACTTCATTCAAATTTGAAAACACAGAGATTTATAGTTTCGTTGATACATTTCATATTGATTCCAAATATAAGTATATCATCAATATAGAGGCATAAAATAACACAATCTAGAGGAAATATATTTGTTTGATGATCTATGAGAAAATCAATTTGAAAGTATAACAACATCAAATTTCTCGTGATATTGTTTAGGTGCTTCTTTTATCCCATCCAAAGTTTTCTTTAGTTTACATACTTTATTCTCATTGCTTGGCAACAAAAAATCCTCTAGTTGCTTCATGTAAACCTCCTTATCCAAGTCCCCATTTAATAACACGGTTTTTTACATCCATATGATGTATATGAAAATTATGAATTGAAGCTAAAGCAAAGAGTATTTGAATTGATGTTATTCTAACTGCTTTGGGCGTATATATCAAAGTAATATACCCTTTTTTTGATTAAAATTCTGAATGACCAATCTTAGCTTTAAAAGTTTGTATAAAGCCATTTGTATTTTCCTTAACTCTAAATGCCTACTTACATGTAGTTGCTTTGGAACCTTGAGGTAAATCCGAGATCTCCCAAGTAGCATTTGATATAAGGGAATCTATTTCATCATTAATTATCTCCTTCCAAAAAGTAACATTCCTAAGATTTTTGCCTTCGTGATAAGTCTTTGGTGCATCTTCTACATGTAGAAGAATAATCAATTTTATTCAATACTTTGTCATTCCTATCAGTTTCATAACATTCCAAAAATTCAACCATAAAATTTTAAAAATCAGAGTAGATGTTTTAACAAAGGGTTTCATTTATATTCATTACTAAATCATGAAATCATTTTTCATCTCACATTAACATATTCATAATAAAAATACGGAAGCTAAGTTTTGTTTTGAAAACCATAACGTAACATATAATTGTTAAACTAGATGTCATGCATCTTTGAGAATGTCTAGATATCTCAATCATGCCATCTCCTTACCCTCCGAGCTTAAAGGAGAGAAAAGAAAAGAAAAAAAAAGAAAAAAAAGAAAATAAAAGAATTGATATTCCTTTCTTTTCTCTATAACTCCTTCCGATTTGGAAGGACAGTTTATAGGGAAAAATAAATTGAATCTTTTTTTTTTCTTTTATCTCCTTAAATGAAACTCAAGAGTAATGCATTATATGGAAGAAGACAATCATCTTTCATAGTTCGACAAATTTGGTCCATAAAGAGTAAAGACGGATTCAACCCTAGACTTGATTTCTTTAACAAAATGACTTCTAGAAATTACAATTTAGACCTTGGACTATATATACCATTAATTTAACACTTTTACGTATATATAATGCATTTTATTTTGATTAATTCACTTGCCAAACGTACAAAAAAAATAATCTTTAATTACATAATTATTCACATTATTTATTAACCTATTTCGAAATAATTAAATAGAAACTAGACATTACAACTAGGAATACAAGGGATTAATAGTTAATCAAATATAAGCTAAGATTTTTATCTTTTATGTCTTTCATTTTTTCTAGGTGCATTAGAAGTCTCGGGAAATTGTCTCTTATTACTATAGTCGATTTCTAGAGTGGGAGTACTTTATGGAACATGAGAGACATCTTGATCCAAGTTTGTTTAATCATGTCGAAATTTATTCTAAAAAACTTGACATCCCTTGATTCAACCCTAAAAAGAACAAATGAATGGAAGTACATTGCCGCTTCTTACATTAAACCCTAAAAAGAACTGTAAAGTCAACGTATAATGTAATAAAACAAAAGTTAGATGCAACTAATTAGTAAGTTGTTCATTAGAATCCATGAGTCCAAACACAAAGTTTTAAGTAAATCTACATAGACAAAAGGCAATGAAACCCCCTGAATGTTTCCTACTATAGTACTATATGCTCCTCTGTTCTTTATTAGGTGTCGTTGTCTCCATACACTTTTGTTTGTCCTGTCTCAATAGTCATACGTTATAAGTTTAACAATTGTCATCATTAAAAAAATCTTCATATTTGTCTGGTTACTAAGCACTATTTAGTTTTGTATCAATAAAGTCATGGTTTACTAAGCACTATTTAGTTTTGTATCAAGAAAGTCATGGTTTACTAAGCACTATTTAGTTCTTCATATTTAAATAGTGATTAAACCATGACTTTCATAAAAAAAATTATGTGGCAAAATACTCTCCACCTCTATCACTTCTAACTTCTAAGTATTTAAATCCGTTTACCTTAGACTTAACAATTCGTGTATCCGTGTCGTGTATTTGTGTCCGACAAATTTACACACAAATTGTAAAACGTGTCAAGATATAAAACAGAAATACGACATACAAGTTATTTGTGTAACACGTGACACCATGTGAATATGACACAATTTTAACTATGTTACATGAAAATACGGTTTACACAGATCTATACATGTAATTATACACGAAAACCCGAACGATATATTTCATAATGTAGCAATGCTATATTTAAAAAAATATGTACAAAGATTGAAAGCACATTGCTAAAGCAAGCTAAAACCAGAAAGTAGCATGCTATATTTTTAATTAAATTATTCGTGTGTATACGTGTCGTGTCACACAAATATTATCTGTGTCTTATACGTAATACATATAAATTCTTGTCTAACTTGTGTAAGAAACAAAAAATGAATTTGAAATTCGTGTCGACATGAAACATGAATTTGAAAAACATACACAAAAAATGCATGTAGTGTACAAAATTGTCGGGTCTATTTTATCTTTTTGAGTATCTACTTCAAACTTATATTTATTGAATGAATAAAAAATTCTAACAAATATAAATAAATATATTTTTAACATTCATCAATGAAAGTTCTAGTTCTGAACATGAAGAATTTAGGTTACCATGTTCTACACAAAATAAATGTGAAGACTTGAGGTAGCATGTTATGTATATACTTTGATTGACTTATCATAACCAACATACTAAGGTCATATTCACAACATTTGGGCACAAATCAGTCAAAGAAAACATCAGTTGCAAAAACGCAATTTGCATATAACATATAAGCATGACGTTAATTTGCATATAACATGTAACGCATGACGTCACTTTATGTAGTTGCAATTTCTGATGCTTTTACAAACTAGGAACGTTTTTCTCTTGTAGTATTGTTATAATTATAATTTATAGCCCTTCGATTAATGATAAAAAAGGATTAACTGTAAATAAGATAAAGAATGCAACAAAAATAAATTTTAATCATTACAATATACATATACAACAAATAGAACACTTGGACGAATTCCGTAATTTTTGAAAAAAGATATCAGATATTAAATTTGTAATTTATTTTAGAAAAAAGATATCAGATATTAATATTAATAATTTAATACACACAAATTTGACGGAACTGGTTTTTCTTCATCGTATTTACGGGGACAGAGGTAAAAGAATAAACCCCAAATTATAGGAAGGGATTTGCGTGTAAAATCCTCTTCGTCTTCTCTAATTTCGTCAAATTACTTGTTACTTCTGTTCACTCCTTCTCCATTCATCTCAAAACCCCCAAATTTCTTCATTATTTACAGATTTAAATCCTTCGGGAGGTCCCTAATTCCTTAAAGACTATGCCCATCAACTGTTCGCATACGTTCCTGTTGCTGAATTAGGGCTTGTGTACGTGTAGATCGTTTAACGGCATCTTAATTTTGTCCCCAAAGGCCAGGATTTTTCGAATTACTTGTAAGCCTCTGTTTCAGGTTATGTATCTGTTTACCTTTAGATCCATAGATTTATTTCATCGTAATCGAAGTCAAAACAACTAGCATTTCGATTGCGGGGCTACTGGTTTTTCACCTATACCTCTGATCCACCAGTCTGATCGACTCCAATCGTATAATTGGTTAAGCTTTCATCGGATACAAAAATTGATAAACTAGGAGAAAGAAAGACTAGGATTGCGGGGCTATTAGTTCTCCAAACCTTCTCATTTCTTCGTTTTTTTTTTCAGATGTTGATCTGAACCCAAATCATTGGCAAAGAACTAGCACTTGTGTGAGTTTTATAGTGTACTAGTGTGTATAGAATAATGAAAGGAGGCTACTTCTATGAAAGGAGAACGAAGCAACTCTCCCTCTTCTTCATCGGTGTTGTTTTTACCACCATTGTTGTTTGGTCTTGGGAGAAAACCCCCCTTCTGACAACTTTACTTCCATCTCATAGTCAAGTGATGCAGCTTTTTCCAGGTTTGCCTTCATATCCATCTCACATTCTTCAGTTTCTCTTGTCTCCTTTAATTGCTGATGGCATTAGGTTAGAATGTGCAGATCAAATAGAAACTTTCAAGACATAAAACATCTGCCACAAATTGCAAAATAGTTAAAAACCATTGAAAGTCTTATAAAATACCGTGGTCATCTTTTCATTAGCTAATTATGGAACTTTATTATGATGGCAGCTGTTGAAGTAAAAGTGAAGCAAGGTACTCAATCAAAAGATGATTTCAGAGAAGCGGAAGTAGTTCCAAATGTAACATATCCAGTAAGTTCCATAAACGCACCCTCCATTTTAGGGGAGGAAGGATTGGTGGATTTAATATCACCATCAACATCAAGTCCCATAAACACCCCCTCATTGGACATTCATGGGGGTGAATCCTCAAGTACCTCTCAAGAAAATCACCATGGTAGAAAATTTTCTTGTATGTTATTGTTTATTCATTTCTCTCCTACATTCTCACTAGACATTTTCTTGATTTTCACACTTACTCCTGTCATGTTAATGCAGAAAGTACAACAAACATTATTGAAAAACCTTTTTCTAGTGAAGTATCTGAAAAATCCACCAACCCAATCTCAAATCCACCAAAACAACAGTTACTTGAACCAGTCTCTTCAGAAGTGGAAACAGAAGACAATGTTGCCCCTATGGCAAATGTGGAAACACAAGGTGCTTTTTACTTTTTACTTTCTTTTATACTTTTCAATTCAAAACTTGATGAAAACAGTCAAACACACAATACAACAAACGCAAAATCACTCATCACTTTTTCTTTATGTTCTTTAATTCCAGCCTGCAACTTTGGTAAAGGAAAATGGGTGATTGACAACAATCGCCCTTTGTATTCTGGTTTTGGCTGTAAACAATGGTTATCAGGAATGTGGGCATGTCGTTTGACTCAAAGAACAGATTTTGGATATGAAAAATTAAAATGGCAACCAAAAGATTGCAAAATGGATGATTTCAACGCCCTTCAATTCCTCAAAAGGTTTGTCATTTGTTAATAAAAGATTCTTTAAATATTATCCACAAAAAAAGAAAAAGAAACAATCTTTGATGTGTTATTATTCCAGAATGCAGCACAAAACTCTAGCTTTTATTGGGGATTCTTTAGGGCGACAACAATTCCAATCCCTAATGTGCATACTCACAGGTGGTGAAGAGAGATATGATGTTGAAGATGTTGGTAAAAAATACGGATTAGTCAAAGCCCGCGGGTCGGTTCGACCCGACGGGTGGGCCTACCGGTTCCGACCCACGAATACCACAATCCTCTACTATTGGTCCGCGAGTCTTTGTGATTTGGACCCGATTGACCCGGGAAACCGGTCCACTTTCTTTGCTATGCACCTCGATAGACCCCCGGCTTTTTTAAAACGTTTTATTTCTGGATTTCATGTTCTTGTTTTGAACACTGGGCATCATTGGAATAGAGGGAAGGTTAATGCTAACAAGTGGGTTATGTATGTTAATGGGACACGTGTCACTAATAGGAGGTTGTTAAATATAGAAAGTGCTAAAAACTTAACAGTTTATAGTATTGTAAGATGGGTGGATGGTGAGTTAGGTAAGTACCCGGGGTTGAAGGCGTTTTTTAGGTCGATTTCCCCGAGACATTTTTTTAATGGAGATTGGAACACTGGGGGGACATGTGACAAAACTACCCCTGGAAAATTGGAGGTTTTACAAGAGGTGTCTAGTGATTTGTTGGCGTCAGGGGCAGTGAAAGGGACAAATGTGAAGCTTTTGGATGTAACTGCATTGTCTGAAGTAAGAGAAGAAGGTCATATATCGAGATATAGCATTAAAGCTACTCCAGGGATGCAAGATTGTTTACATTGGTGCTTACCTGGCATTCCTGACACGTGGAATGAACTTCTTTTTGCTCAGATTTAGGGTACATTTAGATTCTTGTTAGCTTCTTGTTTTTTTTTGGGTACAAAAAAGGGAAGAAGTAGAAACCTTGTTGTGAGATGTGTAGTATGTAGTTTGTTTGTACGAAATTACATATATTTACTGAATGAGTTAATATATAATGTAACACTTGCAATATATAATAAGTTTTTGGTTTATTAGTTAATAAATAAGTTGGCATAAGTTCACGTGTTCTCATGCTGAGATAATTACAAGTTTATCTGAATTAAAATAATCACAAAGTTGTATTATTTAACATCTACACAATATCTCTTAAACTCAACTTGAAGTTAAATTGGATGCAGCGCAAGCGCTTTGACGCCGTGGTCATTACATACTTTTTGGGTAGTACGAAAGTTTGGGAAAATGAAATTGTAGCCCTACAATGCATTCTACATTTCCGCTTTCAGTCGTTTATATCATTTTCGTGCCTTTTAAGATGTAACATACACGTTCAGTTATCGTGTTATGTAATTTTAAAAATGAATAATATAATGAAATATTATATGAATTTGAACGTTGAGTTCTAACATATAGTTTTTACTTGAATTGAAGTAAACTATGTTTATAATCATTCAGAATGTTTTGGAAGTCTTATGAGATTCTGAACAAAAGTCAAATATTGAAATTTAACGAAAATATAAAATTTGAAATAAGTATAATTTTATTAATGAAAGTTGTAAAGAATCTCGTTAGAAACATTTAGGATAAAACCTCATCGAAATCCGAGTTATAACGAAGAAGTTATGACTATTTGAAGTTTCGCGACAGAACCGACACAACGCCTTATGACGTAAAAAGTGAGTTTTCAATAAACTACTTTTTAGCCTTTATGATCTAAACGAAAGTCGTAGTATTCGTTAAACCGAGAATTTTCATAAAAAGAACGTCCAAATCTGACTTCGTATAAGGAAGTTATGATTTTTCTAAGTTTTGGAATAGCAGTAGACAACTAAAAACTCGAAATAAAGATCGAGTGATTTTTAGCTGACGCAACCTAAAGGAGAATCGAAGGTCTCGTCAATAGTAGTACATCGGTAAAAAGACAGACGAAAACGGACATCGGATGAAGAAGTTATGATTTTTTAACGGATTTTTCTTATCCCGGCCTGTTAAAAATATAATATTAGAAATGAAGTCAAAATTAGCCGACAGAGTCTAAACGAAAGTTGTAGAGCATAATTTCACCTACGCGTGGATATAAAGAACGTAAAAAACGGAGCTCGTATGCAAAAGATATGGATTTTTGAAGTTCGGGGCACAAAATTCGAGAAAAATCCCAAAATCCGAGGAATTTCACATGGTCAGACTTCGGCCACGTCACCCTCGCTCGCAGCGTGCCCCGTGTTCGACCCGATGACTCATCCGATGCTCAGCCCAATCTGAGACCGACGCGTGTCCTCGCGGTGGAGGCTTCCGAACCGAGACGCATGTCTCGCCAGCTGTCCGATGCGAGCCACCTGCCCCTCTCGCATGCGCGCCACCTGCCTTCGGTGCTGCCACGTGCTTCCCCCTTTCCCTCTGGATCCTCGCCTCGCACCCTATATAGAGGGGGGTGCGAGACCTCCCGGGTAAGTTTGGAAAATTCACATCTTTCACCCCTAAATTCATATTTTACCATTCCAACTTCCCCCGAAACCTCGGGATCATACCCAACACCGAAATACGTTCCGAAGTGCCCGAAGAGCCCGAGAAATTTATCTTTTCGGTTTGAAGCTCAACCCTCGCAAGGACCGGTTTTCAAGAAAGCTCCCGGTTTTCATCAAAGAAAGCTAATTATAGTAACAAAGTGCTGCCCAAATTACTATTTTAACCTCCAGTTAATTCACGGTGAGTTCAATATATATGAACAATTGTATGTTATGTGTTATATGTGCTATGTACTTTTCCGTGTTATTATCTCGTGTTATTATTTCATGCTATTATGGTAGCAAAGCTGTACCTCTGACCATGTGATCAGTGAAAGGACTTAGATTCACGATGGTATTGGTATGTAGCCTCTGGCCGTGTAGAGCATGCCTCGTAAGAGAATGACTTCTACCCCTATGGCATTGGCAGAATGTTAGATAAGGATAAAATCCTGAAATCTACCAAAATGTTTAATCAGAAAGTGAATGTCTTCTGTGGGGCCGAAGCTTTATTGATGTATATCAAGTATGGAAATTGTTATGTCTCATTGATTGTATATCCTTGAATCAAATCATTGATTGATATGGAAAGCTTGTCACATGATTCACATATGCTTTTGTTGTTCCTTGTTCCTCTTTGCTTCTGCCATATTGAAGTATATATATGACATACCGTTATATTGTATCTATTATTGAACTCACAAAGCGTCACCGCTTATCCCTCTTAGTGTTTAACTATTGCAGGTAATAAGGATCTAGTATAGTCATATACTGTTGGAAGATTTAAAATAGTTTATAATATTACTTTTGTATTTAGTGACCGTGTATGTATAAAATTATAATATCCTGGGTAGTTTTGTAATATATAAAAACTTAGTCGGTTTGTATCCAGTCTTTTGTAATCAAAATATCAATGTAAAATATTACTTATGAATATGCTTGTAGCATGTTTTGGAGTGACTTGGAGTAACAATGTCTTTAGTATGAAAGTTTGGGCTCTTTCATAACGGAAGAAAGTTGTATGTGACTTGTTCATTTAGTTACATGGTGTTAGGGTGCAAAGTTCTTCATATATGACTTTGTAATGGTTTGACTCTTGTAGACCCACTTGCATGTGGTGCATTAGCCTTTTGACCCATGTGTTA